TAAAATTATTATAATCCATTTATTAAAAGACCATGTTTACATACCGACTAGATTTGTATTTAAAAGTCTTTAACGGAAGCAAAGCTACTGTAAAATCAAAACTTGACTAGTTTGATAAGTTATTAAATATACACAGGTATTATTAAAACTGTTAACTTAACGGAAGTAAAAAAACGTGATCTCTTATACTATCTGATTAAAAACTGTTGGTACGTGATAAGTCAGTAGTTCTTGATAATAGCACGTATTCCTTATTTTTAATAAGAATTCACATAATTTTGGGAGAACCTATACATAATAATACGTCTTAAAGCACAACTTAACCTAGTAAAAAAAATATAAAGATAAGATAAGTCAATAGGTCCTATGCAAGCACGCTTTATTTATTTTTAATAAGACTACATATCATTTTCAAATAATGTATGATAGTGAGAAGATAACTTCTGAAATAACCTTTGATCAAAGTGACTTACTTAAGCATTTAATTAATAATTAAACTCAGTACTAAGTGGAACACTTAACTACAGTTTGTGGTCAACTCGAATCCCTTAATGAAAGATTAAATGCTAAATTCAAATTAGCAACACCTTAGCGCACATGATAATTAATGAATAACCCAAGGGTAAGATAATGTTATCGAAGTCCAGAGTAGGAGTTATGTGAAAAGCCATAGTAGGTGTACGTACACGTTTCAATTTCATACATTACTTGCATTTGTGGATGTCCAGCTGCTTTGTTCCCTCGCCCGAAGCCTCGACTAATGCAAACGTCCAGCATTTTAGTCCATTTCCATGTCCGTGTTCAAGTCCAGATCAGCTGGGCAGTTCAGCTCAGTGGGGGAAATCGGAGGAGATGTTAGGGAGTTACGGAATCAAAAGCAGCGACCGAAGCAAAATCAGCAGCAACAACAACTGCAATGGCTTTAGAGTGAAACACTTTAGTAATTGGTAGCTTATTTCCATCAGCTGTGGGGTGGGGGTTGTGTTCAGGGGTTGTAGGGTCTGTAGGGTCTGTAGGGTCTAAGGGAAGAACTAAAGGAAATGAAGGGACAGGACAGAGCCAGAAAACAGGACCAGAGTTTGAGTAGGAGAACAGGACTAAAGCCGGAGCTAACGGCATCACGATTATGCACAAAAGCCCGACTGTCAGGCTTAATGTGAAACGTCGCACAAATGAAACAAATGCAAAAAGCGATAGGTTGGGATAGTACAGTGGGTAGGGAGGTAAGGGCATTGCCCAGGAAAATAAAATGGAAATGACACATCTTACACATGGCTTTAATACGAGGTTATATTGTCGGTGTTCTTTTGGCCAGCCAAACTTCAAGAGAATCTATATATATATCTCTCGGGTCTCCTGCTGGTTTATATCTGTAAGGTGACTATATTCTTGTGGGTGTCTCCCAAAGGACTGAGAGCCCAGGCAAAGCGAGAAGGTAGAAAAGAAAGCAGAAAAAAAGGCTCCTACTTTGACATAATTAAACGCATTTGAAAGATGAAGATGTCGCCCTGTCGCAAATGGGAAGAACAAGAGCAAGATGAAGATGTTGATGGTGACAGCAGCACCACCTCCCCCATCTACTGCCCCTCCTCGCTCTTTTGAGGCTGATTCATGACATGGCCACGTATAGGCGAAGGTGTGGCAATCCGCCACCTCAGTAACCTTCTCCACAATCCCCACTCGCCACCACATTGATGATAAAGCTGATTATGTTTGGCTCTCTGGCTACGTCCCATCTTCTGCCTCTTTGGCCATATCTTCATCTTATATTTTTTACTCGGTCCTATGAAGAAGATGAAGTGCCTCTTGGTCTATCAATAATACACTGAAAGTTTTTAAAGGGTATAAGAAAAGATTCCTAAAAAAAAATATAAGAATTATGCTATACCTTTACTGCTGGATTTGTTTTCTTTAAGATAATAGTATGAAGGGTATCTTTTCGAGTGGTATATAGTACTTAGGACTAGGATAATTGAGTTGGAGAGGTTTACATTGAAAACGGATTAATATAATGTTCTGCACATGTTCTCCTCTAGTAGCAATACCAAAAGAAGTAGTTTGTACACATAATCGATTTATCAGTATATACTGATAGGTGCTGTTCGCAATTTTTTAAAATACTAATCATATTTAATAATAATTAATATTTGTTATTTAGTATTTTTCATGTCCTACACAAAAGGTTCTCAAAAGATACTATCAATTCACTTAAATAACGTTTTCATGGACTGACATCATCTTGCTATGATCAAATATTTATTGTTTTAAAATCTTACTGAGATTATTAATTACTCAGTTATTTCTCCCAGTGTCCCCTGTGCCAAAGCAACAGCATTTTCCATCAACTCACCGTTGCTAGAGCAAGTTGAAAAGATTTGTGCGGCATTCGAGGCATTTTATTTGAGTTATTTAGTTGGTCGGCTGATGATATTTCCCCCTCGATCGTTCTGGTTCCACTTGCCAATGCTGCTGGCATTTTATGGCTGCCATTTCTCTTATTTAAGGTGCGATTCTTGTTACTCTACTGATGCTGCCTCTGCGGTCGATGCTGTTGTTGTTAAATCCATAAATTATGCAGACATTTAGCAGCAGCCACGAGACCGAGGAAAATTACGTATACGCCGCGTGTTCGCCGCTTGTCCGTTCATAATTTAAGTTTTTCCCGCTTTCGGCAGTTGGGTCTTGTTGTTTTTTGCTTTTTGGTTGTTGCTTTTTGGTTTTTGCCTCTTGCCATTGTTGTCTTGTTGGCTAGCTGATGTTGTTCTTGTTTGTCAACATGTCTCAGGGTGTTGGCAGCGGTTTATTATTGTTGTTGTGGAATCCATATTTCTGGGTGTTTCTGATTGTGTGTGCGGGTATATGTCGGTTTTTATCTGTATACCGCCTGCGGCCATGGTGATAACTCTGATGACGTTGATGAAAAACTTTTGATTGATGTGGTGGCAAAAACTTCATGTTTGTCATTAGGCGCAACTAGAGAAGTCTGGTTGGGGGTAGGGTAAAATGTTTTGGTAAAGGGTTTCCTTCTGGCTGGTTATATATTTTGGGCCATATCGGTGGGCGAACTCAAGTTTTTGGCATAACAAACGACAGTCGGCAAAAAGTTGTTTCGCAGCGCGCGACTGTGTGGATGCAGCACTCGAAGAGCTTGCGAAAAGTTTTGTTTATTAATTAATTGAGGGCTCGTGCATGTGAGTGCTTCGAAGGAGTTGCTCTATCTGGGGTGAAAGTTCAAGGCATTTACGGGCAATATGCTTTTTGTGTGGGGGCAAAATGAAATTATACCTTAATCCTAAATTAAGATCAGTTTACTTCAAGAACTACTTGTTAGATAATTCTTTTAACAGGAATGTATTAACATTGTAACTAGGCGTGGTATTATAAGTGAAATCATTTCTATACATTCGATTTCCCTATTTTTTCATTAGTTAATATTTACATATCTTTTATTTAAAACTTGGGCTTTACATCGGTTTTACATTTAATCAAATGTCCAATTAGAACTAAAATAAAATACAAAATGTATGAGTAGATAGGTAGATATGCAAATATTCCTAACACTGTATGACACTTTTTTGACATTTCAATTTGTGTGCAAGAAGCGGCAGAGTGAAGTGGGCCATTGAAAAGCTTTATATAAATCAAAAACAAACTTTAATTCAGCATAAAAAAAAGGTAAAGCAATTAAACCTTCACATGAAATCAGTTACCAACCAATACAAAACTCTACGCACCCACCTGCATATTTGGCAACCTTGGCAACACCTAACGAGATCTTTCTAGCTGCTGGTTGGGGGGTAACCCTTATTTGGAGCTGCGGCTGTAACTATAGTTTTACCTGGGGCCCTTAACTATACCGGGTGTACTTGCACACCTGTTCCCTGGACCCCCAGACTGCATCCTACAAGTCGGAGCCATTCATTACGCCGTGTTTGCCTTTGCCTAGTTGCAACCAACAATGCCACACTTTTCCCCACTTCGTAGTTCTTGTTTCTACTTTACTTTTTTAGTTCTATTTTTTTTTTGCTAGCCCCTTCTCTTCATCTCTATCGTTGTTTTGTTGGGCACTTTTTAAACTTTTCTCGTTATTTTTGCACATTCGCTTGGGTTTTATGGGCAGTGCTACACTAATTACCTTGTTTTTCGGAGAATTAACTTTTCGATTACTGTTGCCACAGTTTGTTACTGCTGCCAAGGAGAAGAAGAAGAAAGAACTCACAAGTGCAGTTTGCGAAAAAAATATTGATGGGAATGGTATAAAAACTGGGGTGGAGCAACTGTATAACGAGTAAATTGTTTCTGGGATGGCCCCTCTGAATGCCACACATTTTTCGAAAAATTATGGAAATATGCTGAAACGCACTGGAGAGCAGCAAATCACAGACAGAAATTGCGGCTGCAAATTTTGCGGTTTGGCAGTTTGAAAGTCCCGCCTTTGCCCCCTGCCCTCTGGCCTATGAAAACCCCTCTTTATTCACACTTTTGTTGGGGGGCAGTAAATTGGGGTCGACCTTGTTGAGTTGAAGTTGATTTTTTACAAAGTGTGCTGTGCTGTTCATATACATATATGCATTGCATACGAGAGGGTATAAGTATAGTTAAATAAGAACACTTATGAATAAAAATACCATGAAGTAACTCTCGTTTTCATATCTTTAACAGCTCCATAAAATACGATATTCGATAATGTATAAAAAGGTTTTCCTGAAAAGGTTGTATGTACTACTTAACACTTCTTGGGCTTTCATAAAGTTTTGAAAAGCCTTTTAATAAAGCAACAGATTTAAAGTTCTTAAATCAAATTAATTCTCTGTAATAGCCAATTAGTCCACTTCAATTGGGAGCTTATAAAAGGAATACTTCTAAAGTAGTTATAAAGTTTTTCAAGCCTTTGCTTTGACTTTAAACTTTCTCACTTGCCAACTTGTAATTTTCTTTAAACTGGCAACTTTTACATGAAACTGCAATTAACTAATTAATTCCTTCTCGTTTTCTTTCAGAAACCGTTGGCGTGATAAACAGTATTAAAGGTAAGAGTATTTTTAAATTCTTAAATAGGGATAAATAGTATTTGTAAATGATTTAAGTTAACCTCTGATAATTTTCTTTGACTTTCAATAAGTTCTGCTTAGCTATAAATTCCGTTTGAGTTTTCCTAAACTAAAGTTTTTCCCTTGCATTAAAGCATCACTCATTTCATTTTGTGTTTGCTTAAGTGCTCTGTAATGTAGGTATGTGGTTTTTAATTAAGGAGGAATTCCCCAATGACACATTAAGCCCCCAGCAGTAAGCTAAAAACATCGAACTGTAATTTGTATGTAGACAAGAAAATAAACTATTACGAATCATGTTAAATAATTGAAACAAATGGGCGAACATTTTAAGCAAACTTTAAGTAAAGACATAATTAAATTACCTTTAAAATTATTTATGAATTGGTCTTAACTTAATTCAAAACCTATTTAATTTTATTAAATTTAGATACAATTTCGATCACTTTTCCCAATGTGGGCGCACGAATAGAAGCATTCAATTTTCCTGGCAGCATTTCCCCTTTCATTCACTCATCTTTCTTCAATCTAAGCTGTCAGCGGAGCTTTTTCAATTCAGCTCTCGCTTTTTACTCCCTTGAAATAGGGAACATCTTCATGAAGTTAATTACAAGGAAATGCTGCAGTGATTTTAGCTTGAAAGCAACGCCACAAAACTGGCCAACGGCTCCAGATGTTTCTTTCGGACTGACCGTCGTTTCCATTTTTCCTTAGCATTTTCCTTTTCTTTTCCTTGCTTTTTTGTCCATTTTCAAATGTAATTACATTTCATTTTTCTCGCTTCGCTCCTTTCGGGTCGTTTCTTCCCTTCATATTCCCCGGATCTCTGGGGATCTGGCGTCGTTCATTATCCGGGGCCCTGTCCATAACATTTTGTTGCACAGTCGTCGCTAATCTTGGTCGACAAGTTCCTAAACCCCCTCCCATTTCCCCGGACTATCTGTCCCTGTTTCTTGGCGACTGTTTAAATGTCAGTTAAAATCCCATAAATTCTCCTTAAATGACTTCTGTCTGCCGCAATTTCGTTGGCCCAGCACTGCTCAGCTGACCCTGGCGACATTCGGAGGGATATGGGCAAAATGGCCAAGACGAATGGCCAAGAAGAATTGCAGTTGGCTTTGGGCCGGAGCTGAATTAGCTTCTAAGAGCCGGCAAATCTTAGAAAAACTTAAGCTTTAATTCATTCTTAACTCGGAGAGGGAGAGAGAGAGATAAAAGGGCACTTTTCTTCATTCGTCTTAGTTGGCCAAGAATCAGTTGGCCAAGTAGCAATGGCAAAGCCCGGATTTCTTTGGCTTTCTGCAAACTCAATGACGCAACATGCAGCTTGCAATTGGAACTTGCAACTAACAACCTGCAACTTGTGCAATTGGTTCAATAAACTCATTAAATGCTCTCTCAACTTTCTGTTTCTCGTTTTAACAAAGTTTTTTTTCGCTTTTCCTTATTCTTTGTGCTTGGGGCAAACTTTTCTGGGCAGAATGGCGGTCATTCGGTCGCCTTTTTGGCTCGTTTTCAACTTGTCGCATTATCCTTTTTATTGTCGTCGACATTTGCAACGCATTATCCTTGGCAGCTATTCCTGTTTTGTTTGTTGGATTGTAGGAGATTTTCCTTATTTTTTCCGGTTTTTTTATGTATTCCGCCAGCGGCCAAGGCTTCATAACTTTGTTGGGCTGTTTGACTAATGTGTGCGGCATAAAAAATGAATCAGTGAAATGGGATTGCATCAAAGTGAATTTTAAATCCATTTAAAAATAGACGCGGGAGTAAATCCATCTCGCATCATAATTAAAAGTAATTGGATTCGTTTTTAGTTATTACAGTTTTAGAAAAAACCTGTTAGTATGGGAGAAAAACAAGGATTGTATTTGATAGTAATCCTGCTTTTAAAGGATTAATTTCTTAGAAATGCTGTGTAAACATGATTCATTTTTTCATCTGCTTTATAAGCTTGAAATGTAATGATTAAAAGTATTTGTAATGATTAATAAAATTGTGTTTTAATATTAATAAAATAAAATAATGTATGATTTTCCCAAAAATTATATGTTCTTATGTTTTAACATGCACTCTGTTTTATGGATGTGAAATGTCATTATTGAAAGTAATTGAATTCGTTGGTAATTGTAAAAACTTTTTTAGTTAAAAGGAAAAAAAAACTAGGATTATTTTCTCAGAACTGATATATATGATCCATTCTCCCTCATTTTATAGATGTGAAATGCACATAAACCATTCCATGATCTCATTCGCACTTGTTCCCATTCCCTGCCAATAAATATTTGGCCCAGAAAGCATTTAACTTATTTGCTATTTGCCTATTTCTGGCTGACTGGCTGGCTTTGTTCCTGTTCCTTGGGCTCTTTGCCAAGCAGGCGGCAAAAACAATAAATTTTGTGTGGGAATTTAAGCGCGGCCACATTTTAATTTGTGGCAGCAACAGCCGCAGCAGCAGCAGGAGCAATAGGTATATGGAAAAGCCACCAGCAGACACCGATTCTATGCCTCAGCCTAACACCTTGGTCCTTTGGTTCCGTTGCACCCCCAACCCCATCCCCATCCCCATTCCCCCTTGATTTTCCGGGGAAAAACCGCAGCATTCATCGTTGCCTGGCTGCGGCTAAAGCCTCAACCATAACTATGATAACGAGTGGCTCAGCCGGGGATTCTAGAGTAAATGGCGGTGGGGGAATGTCAATTTATTTGTTGTGCCCCACCAACCGCAGCTGGCTGACTGGGTGGTGGTTGCCTTGTGTTGTGATTCTTTTGGAGGTTTTGCCAATTTGTCGGCTTCCTATTTTTTTCTTTTTGGCTCACTTTCTTTCTTCCCATTTCTTTTTTTTTTCCTGTACGGGCGTGGAAATTCTTTATGAAAACTTTGTTTACAACAATCAACTCAGAGTCACCCCGTCGCCTACTTACTCTGCCAGTATTGAGTTGACAATATTTTTAATAGAAACTCACAGACTGCCAGCCCAACTTTTATATTTTCCTACTGACTTTGGTAGGAGGGGAGAGAACTGCGAACCAAGTTGGGAGTCCCTCCAGCCAGTGTTTGTGTTTCAATTTGTGTGCCTTTTATAGAATTATGCACTTTTACCAGCTTGCCTTGAGATGCACAAGTTGGCCAACAATTTGGAGCCAATTGAGTTGCAACTTTTTGGTTTTTCCCTACCGTTGTCAAACAGCATGCCGATGGAATGATATATTGCTAGATGGTAATAGTATTTGTAGAGAGGAAGTATTCTTTCTCAAATTATATTTGGAATGCTAGACTAGATAGTTCTCAATGACCTATGATTTCGAGTTACTATAAAATGATATGATATATTATAATATAATATAATATTACTAATAGTCTGATCTATGAAGTTCCGGTTATAGCTACATATCTTATATAGTACTGAGAAAGGGTGTTGTTGGTAGATAATAAATATTTTAAAAGGAATACAACACTTGCAACTTGTTCTAACATGTTTGAGATACTTGTATACCCAAGCAACAACCTTATCAATCTCCTTTTAATTATCTAATTCGTTTTTGTAATTTCCCCGACTAATTTGCAATGCTAATCCCTAGGCAGCTGCACTTCCGATTCGGATTTTAACTCTGATTCCAATTCCATTTCCATTTGCCGTAAAAAGCAGCTTGAATTTGTTTTACTTTCCTTCCATTCGTTTACACTTGCCCTCCCCATTTGGCAGTCCATAAAGAGTTCTGCCCCCAACATCCTCTCTCTCCATTTAGGCCATTAATTTCTGGCTAAGTCAGGGGGTAAAGGAGCGGTTGTTTGGTGTGGGTTTTCCGGCCAAGGCAATCCCATCATCCATCGAAGGCCATAAAAGTTGGAATGCGAATGAGAACGAAATGGTTTACTCGCAATTTACGCTGTTGTGTTTTTGTCTCATTAAAAGCTGTCAATTGTTCGTCATTGTAATTAAACAAGGCTTTTAAATGGGTAAACATTTTGTGAATGATATCGGAGGGGTTTTCCTTAAGTGCTGAGTGCACACAATCCATTCTGGCAATTTAAAGAATTCATTTGGGTTGACAATAAAGCTTTGCCACTTTTGTTCAACACCTCTTCTTATATGGGCCCTCTGGCAATTTGTAGTCCTTCTTATACCATTTTATTGCAAAAGGGGGGTTTCCCTGGCGCCGAAAGTGTGTAATAAAGCTCTGTGTGTGTGTATATATAAGAGGTGATCTTATTCCGTTTCCTGGGGGTGTGGTCAGTAAGCTGCAGTGGGCCCTGCTCTTCGGAAACTGCAGTTGCCCCCATCTGCAGCGGCGATTATTAAGGGACAAAGTAAGGATTCGTCCTGGGAGTCCTTTTGCCGCAGCGTCATTGTCGATGATAAATGGGTAAGACACAAGGAAGGAAAGAAAGAAGGAATCGTGGACTATTTGCGTAACTGAAATAATTGAAATTTAAGTAAAAGAATTCGTGTAAAGTGCCAAAGAAATTGAATAAATACAAAGTGATTATTATATACATAATAACATATGAATGTAACGTTAAAAAGCATATATTGAGAATTTTAATATATATATGTTTTTTGTATAATCATATCATGTTCATTGAAAATTGAAAAATACTATAGAAAGTTACTTAAAATCAACTACATTTAACATTGACCATTTAATCATAATATCTCATATCCTAAATCCTTCCCATCTAACAAAAACTAGCCGTCTAAGACTTTAATAAGCTGATCATAAAAGCATAAACCGAAATAAAACCAAATCAAATACTATCCAATAAAGGAAGAGGCTAATAAAACCGGGGAATATTCATGAAAGCTAGTATTATCCCTACTTCTCGTACACTTCTTCCGGCTTTTGTAGACCAACCCACCTCCCCCAAAAAGAGGGCTTAATGCATTATGAGCTTTTTGGCCTTTCGTGCTGCTGGCTCCTCTTCCACTTGAGTTGTGTCAATCCCCGGCTAAGACTCTGTTGCCACAATCAAGTTC